TATTGTTTTTAATGCTTTGTTGCAAATTACAGTTTTGTATTAATGTATCAATTGTTAGTAAAACTCATGGTCAAAATCCTTATTGTATGTGATATAATTCCCTCTCGAAGGGTTAATACAACTTTGGTTTTATTACTAGTTTTAACTGGAAACATACCAGTAATAACGCGCTTGGATGAATGTTCCTACTAAATAAACGCAAAAATTATGTAGTATTTTTGCCATAGTGTGTATTCCTACTAAAACATCAAAAGATGTTTTACCTTAGGCTTTTTTTTACTCTATCTATTTTGCTCTCAGCGGCAAGCTTTAAAATGCTTAAATATGAAACAGCTTATGCAAAAATAAAAGGAACTTGCTACATTACAGTGATTTTTTGATGCATTAATTGCTATCAAATTAGCCATGAATAAATAAATATGAATAAATATGATCAAGATAGAGATGAGGAAAAAGAATCGGTGACTCACTGTTAAAAATTACTATGGAGATGGCGAATGCGTTTTCGATAAATTTTCATGATCTCGTGCCTGTGAAAATACTTGCCCCTCGGTAGAACGGAGAGTGCGGTTAACTTCACCTAGCCAAGGGAAGCAGATAACAGTAATTTCTTACCTAAAAGGACAAAATGAAGTGGATGTGGAAGAAAGGGAAGGAATGGGAGGAAGTGCAAGAAAATAAAATGATACCACTCTCTGATGCCTGTGCACAGTGTGAGTTAATTCAGGACACTCCGACTATATGGAACCACTTTCTTAATTTCCTTATTTTTTCCATCCTTTTACTTATTGTTTAATTGGTTCATTTATTTATTCTTTCCCCAACCTCTCTACCCACGCAACTGCTGAAAACATGAAATGGAGGAATAGTTGGAATAAAGAGTGAATATGAAGCCAGCACACAGACCTCTTTTAACATGCCCGGTTAACAAATCTACCATCTGAGACAATGATTGAGATTACGCGCATTAATAAAGAAGGGAGAAGAAAAAGAGCAAAAAAAGAAATTAAGAAGGAAACAAGGGAGAAGATGTCATGTCTTCCCCTAATTGATGTAGAATCCATATTTCCCTATTCTCTGGCCTACTGACGTGCTCTGGACGAAGAAGGGAGAGGTGATGAAGAATAAGAAGGGGGCCACCTACAATGGTAAACCAGAGTGGGAGACAGGTGTTGGAAATAAACTAAATTGTGGGAAGAATGACAGCATGAATGATTGCGGTGAGGAGCAGAGGAGGTTGAACACGAAGCATGTCTCTCACGTGTCGCTTAAGAGGTGTCGCGTAGTCTGTGGTGGTGGCGTGTCACTTGTCCAAAGCAAAGTCATTTATTTTACTTGAGATCTGTCACCAAAATGTATTTGCTCCTGTGCCCCTCATCTTGGCTGAGTATCTCTCCTCACAATGTGTCTACGTAATAAATTGTTCAAGCCTTTAGTCTACGCCGCTACAATTTCAATTTTGATTGTGGTTTTGGCATGGGTTTGACTTTTTGAGTACCTTACAGTATTCGGTTTCAGCTGTAGCAATGGCTGCAGCCATGTTCATAACTATCACTATACCTACAGCTACAGCTTTGCAGTGCTTCGATAAGTCAAGGAGAAATCACCTTTCATATTGCCATGCCCTATCACGCTTCCTGAAACAACTCAACAAAGCCCGTTGATAAGAGTAAAAGTAGGAAGAAGGAAGTAAATTCCATCCGCAAGAACTACTATCCCGGTTCCTTTGTCACATTATCATATCGTAATACCACAGAAGGATGCCATCCACTTCAAGTGGCTGAATTCTGGGACACTGTTTAAGGAAAAGGTAATCTTGCTAGCCACAATACGTCTACATTCAACGGTCGGAGCAATTTGGGACGCGAATCTTTGGGCAATCGCGATATTTACTTAAAGTATTTTAAACATCTAAATCTGTACCACCTCGCAATGAACACGTTTTTTAGAGTTAGCAAGTCAGATCTCAAACGACTTAAAAAGCGAGTCATTGAACCATTTTTGCTGAAAGAAGGGCGGAGATAAGTGAGATGCAAGCACATCTAACAACCGACCTTGGGCATTTTATTCCACACCTTACCATGAGAGCTTAACATGATCTTTTTCTAGCCAGGATGGATATAAAAAAAGACGAATATACAATCTAGAGACGGAAGTGCCATCAGCGTCCACGAAAACTTCACTCTTGCAAGTTAAGTTAATGTCTTAAAATCAGTTTTTAACAGACACACCTTGAACCCAATGGGTCAAGAGTTAGCAAGTCTAGTAACGTTTACTTGATTAAGGGTAAGCAGATGTGGCATAAGTAATACATACACCCACCGATGCCTCCATTGAAGGCATTAGTCATGCGAGTTTTTGCAGTGATTTTATCCACTTTCACTTCCTGCTCAGCGTGGATCAGGAATTCATAAACTCGCGGAAGGACTGTTTGGAACTGAGGGAAAACTGTTACCTAGAGTAACTTGTGGGCCCGATTTGTCAAAATTCGTGCTCTATTAATTGCTAGTGGTGTTGAAACTCTCGCCTTGTAGAGCCATCAAAAAGTCCCTTCCGACAAGAAATACGTCATCAAAATCCCATTTCGGTTGCTGTTTTCATCGAATTATTTAAAGTAATAGAAGTATTAATAGGCTGCCATCTCAACAAATTAGGCTTGACAGGTTAACTGTCCATGGGGATTATCATAATTAATCAGCCTTGGGTCGCACAATCCACATGCAGATTCGCCCTGTGAGCAAATATGTCGGAAGCACAGGATAGCTGCTCTCGGCATAAGAACAAGGTTCTTTTTCTCGTAGAATTCTCAAAATATCTTACTAACTTCATATTAGTTGAAATTGAAGACGCAGTTGCCATCAGGAAATTTGGCGTTGGCCAACTTCTGCTGGGCCTCTAAGGATAAAGCCATCGTAAGTGTATCGTGACTTAACATGAATAAGCACGCAGTGTCCGCCTTCACAGATGATCTTCTGGCAAAAAGCAACACAAAGGATTGTGGATCAGGCAGTCTGCGTTTTAGATTTGGACAATTCTGGCATTAACCCCTTCAAGCGCTAAGGAAAGTGTCAAATGATTGAGTGAAAGTACTCATGTGACAGTGACTATGGTTTCGCAAGGAAAAAAATATGTACTAAAAACACAAAAAGGACATGACGCTTAAACGTTTCTGATGCATGGTATCAATGAAGTAACTTCAGTTACAATGTGGGTGAATTTTGTAAATGCCTCATGCATGGCACTGTTGTCAATCCTACACCGCCTGACTCTTTCTGTCCACGTACATGTGCAGCACTCTAACATTGGCCAGATAAAAAATTGACCTCGTCCAACCTGAACCGCAAGTTCTGTGTGAGCAATCTATTAACCTAAAGGTCAGCCTGGAATTGAGCGCACATTCAATCCACCCAATGGGCGCGATCCTGAAGAGATTTCTTATTTATTATTTTTCCTCTTCCAAATTGACTGCATCTGTATCAATTAAATCGAATTAAAAAACAAATTTTTATTTTTTCCACAAATCCAAATGATACTCTATCATCTCTTGAAGGACACAGGGATGCATATTGCTGGCGTCCAGTTCAGCTATTACACTAACACAGGCTATCGCTGCAGATTACAATAATTTACTCAAATAATGTAAGTAGTATAGTACGTACACACTGGAATACTTTTAGAATAACCCCTGTTTGTTTGGCGATTTGACGCCAATACCCCACCACACCAGTTTCGCTTTTGCCGTGTACTGCCTTAAAAATGGATAGTTCGCTTTTCAATGGCAGTACTGCTTTCTATTTTCCGAAAAAGGGATTCTTCGAAGAACTAAAAGAAACAACCTGTTACCCAAAAGCAGATTAGACCCTAACTACTTTCCAACTTATAAAGTTCGAATAAAAGTCGTGGTTAATCAATGATTTATTGTAAATCGTGCTAGTTTAAAGTAAGGCGAATCCTTTGGAATCACTGCGTGAAAATACATTAAACTACCAGTTAGCTCCTTCTCATCTTTCTGGCAAAGAGATCTTTCAACAATTAGCACACTTTGATGCGCTAGGGGTCTCTGTATGCCATCTTTTCACAAATATGCAAGCATACAAATTGCGCCACATTATTAATCACATCTAAAACACCTGCATTATTCCCACTACCAATTACTAAATAAACCCAGTTGCGATGGAAGTTGTCCAGTTTTCGTCCTCTTTAAAGCATACAATTCGAATCTTTTGTGTTGTAAATTGCATAAAATTTGCATCATATGAAACTAACTTGAGGTGGCAATTTCGACCTACTCAACCAGTATTGGACATGGCCAGAGAAATTTGCTCAAACGAAAATGTAAAAAGCTGTTGAGTGAAACAGAACTGTTGCACGTGAACATACCAACTAGGCTAGGTCTAGCCTTCCCTCATATTGCTCTGTAAGCAAAAGCTTTACCTAAAGACTGTTAGCTGTAACGACGAAATTGTAATGGAGCTATACCCACTGGATGCAGTAGTCATGGAGAGACGTCGAGCACAGCATCTTCGAGAGTCAGTTCTGAAGAATATGAGGTGGAATTGTTGAATTGGTAGCTTGCGATTTCAGTTGGACTAGGTCTATATTCACCTGGCCAGTGTTAAAGCGCTGCACATGTAAGTGGCCAAAAAGAGTCAGGTGATGTGGGATTGACAACAATGTCGTTCATTGGGCATTTACAAATTTCACCCGCATTGTAACTGAAGTTACTTCAATGATGTTATGCTGCACAAATCTTTAAGTGTCACGTCCTCCTTACTTTCTCAGTAATTTTTTTCTTACTTAACCGTAGTCACTGTCTCATGGGTACCTTCACTCATTCACTTGACGTTTAACTTAGCGCTTGAAAGGATTAACACCAGAATAAGCTAAATTTAAAACCCAGACTGCCTGATTCTCAATCCTTCGTATTGCCTTTATCCAGAAGACTATTTTTGAAGGCGGACTTTGCGTGCCTATTCGTGTTAAGTTACGATGCACTTATGATGGCTTTATCCTCAGAGGCTCAGAAGTTAGCCAAGCACCAACATTCCTGGTGGCAACCGCATCGTCAATTCCAACTTTATGAAGGTGGTAAGATGTTTTGGGAATTCTACAAGAAAGAGAACCTTCTTCTCATGCCTACAGCTGCTATGCTAATCTTCAGGCATATTTGCTCACAAAATCTATTTGGATTGTACAACCCAAGGCTAATATATTACGGTAAGTCCATGAACAGTCGGCTGGCCTGAATGTAATAGTTAAGTAGATAACCATCAGGAATTCCTACCACCTTTGCTATATTTTAGCTGATGCACAATCTTTTGAAATTTGTAAATATCTTCCATGACAAAGGGTTTTGGCTAATACAAATGTATAGCCACAAATATAGCGGCCGTACAATTCCACACATAAAATGAAAACAGAAAAACAAGAGTTGTGGGGGATTTGTGATTTGGTGTGAAAAGGAGAGTGGATTATTTGACCTTTTAGTCCACACCCTAAAGTAGTTGAGTAAGAGCGCTAAGAAAAAATTTTGGAATTTCCTTGCTACCAATAATGAAATTGGCACTTCTTACTCTGCACTGCTTGCATATGGCTCAGCTGTGATTCCTGTCACTCGAATGATCCACTACGCTGATTAAAGTTAAAGGTATTCACACCTACAAGAGTGAGGACAAGAAACAGGGAGAAAATGAATGTCCATTTTCTGATAGGGCAGAAAACAAGGCTTGGACCCCTCTTCAGTTGGCGCTAAATCTTATCACTATGTGTACAAACTAGGTGACGGAGGAAATCGAGGGATTCGTGAATGCCCTATCACATTGATCACATATGAGGGATTGTAAATCTAGGAGACAAAAAATATGGTGAAAGTGCAAGTGCTTCCATCTTTGTCCCTATTCAATGATTTCCCTATCATGTAAAGGCGGTGGTGGTGGTGGTGGTGGTGGTGGTGGTGGTGTGGTTATCGAGACTGCTGAGCTGTTAAACAGTCCAATCAAGAAATGCTACTTAGGGCAAAATTGCATCTTGCTGTTCCTCAATTTTAATATTCCCCTATATAATCTTCTCCCGTCAGATATTTCTATTGCTAGTCACTGAAGAAAACTCAAAGCTATTTGGCTAAACTTAATGTGGACTTAGTTAAATCTCCCACTTTAACTAGAAATGATATATTTCACTATAACTTATCTACACGCTTGCATATTCACCTTAAAAAAATTTACAGGTAAAAGATACGTGAAAGGTCTTTGTTTGGCGCAAAAGAACTGGAAAGTTATTACATTTCTATATCTTTTTACCCACTTTACAGGCTATACCACCAATGGACCTTGATGGGCGGCTTGTCGCAAAGTTCTCTGTAAATCTATCTTAGCATGTCATACTCGGACCTAAGCAAGAGAATGGCAAAGGTGATTTGGAAGTCTTTTTATCAGACGGAGCCTTAACAATTGCCGGATGAAGTTAAACCCACACAACAGGTGATTCTTCTCGAGAGGGCGTCAAATTATGCCAATGACCCACCATACATTATGAAAGTGGGTGACAGCAGATTGGTGATAGTGCAGTCTGCATTAAATTCTCCACTGCCAATATCAAAACGGCCACATTTAAATGATAGGCTAAAGATTAGTGATTAACTTCAGTATAAAAATTAGTTTATTGTAGAAAACCAATGACATTTAGAGTAATTCCTGAACAACATCTTAAATGCCCTTGCATTCTCTTCAAAGCGCACCCAATTTAAAGTTGACAAAGATATGGGAATGAAAGAATGATGTCAGCTAAAGCATTTGCGTTGCTCCCAATAAATGTCTCCTCGGAAGCCCCTAACTTTCCCACATGCTGGTTGAGATCGCGATAGTGGTCATGCCAGCAAATCGACAAGTATTTGTTTACTGGTCGACCAGAAGCGATTATAACCTGGTGAATTAAGAGCGAACGATGAGAATCCGATCAAGCTCACAACCGCACAATTGATAGACTGTGGAAGAATCGGCGAAGCAGATGGCTAAGCTACCGACGTAATGAGCAAACAAAGAAAGCGCCGGCAGTGTGTGCATGCCTAGTGGATACAGCGTGGAGACAGCCTCGGTCCGGTTACAGGGTCGCAGAAGTTTCTCATACCACTTACTGTGTAGTCTTTAAAGGAGCTGTGGTTTTAGGACACGTAGCCACTCAAAAATAATCTAAACTCTTTGATTATAAGATAGATCCATCATGTTCAGAAATGATCATCCATTTCTCATAGTGATGAAACATTATTGAAAATAATAGACATACGGAAAAGAACAGTTTTCTCATGTACACTTTGCAGTTACTATGCTTTCGTTAAAAAGACTGCGAGGACATGTTTGGACACGTTTTTCTAGAACGT